AAAAAAAAATAAATAAATAAATAAATCTTTACACGTTTTAAAACAGCAAATTGCCAACGGTGTATTAATTCAAGGTTTAATCCAATTCTTCAGGAGACTGAGGAATATTACCCGGTGCAGAAATACCACGATGGACGACGAAAACAGGCAGAATCCTATCACGATCTGAAGCACAAGTGTTGCTTCAAATGTAACCAACCGTGGGAGCTTCCTCCAACAGAATTCGGTAGGAGACACGCGAGAAGGACGAAAGATCAGGTGCAACACTGTCCTTCCTGTCACTGTCCGCCAGAAGCGGTGAAATATTCGATCGGAAGAACAAAGTACGTTCAATCCTCGCCACAATCTGTCTGACAAAGTTAGAAACGACTCTTTCTTTCACCAGCTGTTCCAAGAATATGGACGCCGTTTTGAACGAGTACGAACACTTGTTGACAAGTCCAGCGAATCAAACGTTCAAGAGATCGCAGAGTAGCCCATTGTCGCCGAGATTGTACGGTGTAGTACCGCCGTGTAATAACGCAGCATACGCTCATCATCATCCACGAAAGAGGCAAACGAGCCGACATCGGCGCCAGTGCAGGAACCAGCAGGAGCAAGTCCTCTCGATTACGAAGAATTCGTTGCATCCTGCCGGGAATGGCAATGGGAATTTTTATCCGCGATCTATGAAGAACAACTGCAAGAAGGAGGATTATTATATAAGGGGAGACGATCAGGTAGAGGCAGACGATCATTTAAATTCTTGGAAGTGTTGGCGAGGGTGTTTGAAGGATATTTAGCATACGTTTTCAAGTCGAGCTTTTTTAATTAAAAATCAAGCTCGAGAGGTGTAGCACTTGTCCATAAAAAAAAAAAAGGACAATTAATTTGCCATTTTTGACTTTCTTTCAACACTCCATTCAATTCAACATACTTTCGAATAGTATTTTTAAAATAATTGATATTGAATAATCTCCATTCCAATTAATATAATGAATAAATAGATAGATAGGTGAAACGATGAATCTACTTGAACACGCATAGTCATGCTTCTAAAATGTAATAATAGGCGATGACGGGGATCATGAAGGCCATAGACGTGGACAACGAAACTGTGGAAAAGTGTGCGCAGTACAAGAAGGAGCGAATTTTGAAACCAGAGCCACGAACAACAAGACATCACATTGATAAGACAAACAAAATAAACGTGGACGAGAGATACGATTTCGGAGACCATAAGAACGATGGCTGGTTATATACACGAGGTAGATTGAGATTCAATTTATCCAAACACGAGGGTGCGAATAAAATGGAGGAGGAGGGCTTTGAGAATGATCGGAACGCGCAAGTGAAAAATAAATCTAACGTCCAATCGAATAAAGTCTCTATTTTAAAAGGCTGTGGCTCGCAGACTTCCTCGAAGAATAGGAATCTTGAGGATCTGGTAGGTGTCCCGATCCTAGAACGACACTGTATAATTTGAGATCAAAGTAGGATTCGAATATTTTTAGAGATTAATTGAATATTGTTTGCAAAATTCTCGTTTCATTGCTCTCTGGAAATCTTGATGAGAGATTGCAGTATTTTGCTTTCATCTAAAGGAAGAAGAAATCAAAATAAATAATAACTTTTGGGAAATGTATAATAATTAATTATATATTAATATTATATATATTATTATATATTATTAATATATATTCACGATTAAAATTCATTCTTTCTCGAACATTTGACAATATTCCAGTCCAAGCACAAAGTTTCGCCAATGGAAGCGAATGATTATACGAAAGAGGGGAATCTGCCGAAAAAAGTGGAGAATCGATTAATTTGCAAACCACGCCAGCGATCTCCTGTTCGACAAAACTCTCCTCGAAGTCCTGGCAAAGAATCGACCAGCAATTCTGAAGAGAGTAGAGACGAAAGCTCGTGCTGCGAGCTGGCAGTTAAGGACGAAGACCAAGAATCTCCTAACAGGAAGAACATTTACGCAGGTGGAGATCTCGATCTCGATCTGGATCTTCGCGCGACCAAAACTTATATCGTCGATCTGATCGACCGAGTTCTCAGCAAGAAATTCGCCATGTCGCCGGGCCAACCAAAGGTTTTCACTTGATCTCAAATGATTTGATGAGCCACTTTTTCGAGTACAAAATACTTGGCTGTATTTCTGAAAATGTTCAGGTTCTGATCTGGCTGAAAATGATAAAGGAATAGAATTTCTAACAACTGTTAAGACCCAAAAGTTTCATCAACATTTAAAATTTTTTTAATTTTAATTTAATCTCAGTTGTCAGTGATGATTGAAATTTGAAGAATGAGTTTCTTTTATTTTATGGTAGCAAAATGACAAAATTAAAAATCTTTCCCGTGATATGGTCTCAAAATATCATCCAAATCAGAACAATTTTCGGGAATTTCACCGAATATTTTTTCTTACAATATATCTGAACATTTTTCTTCTTCGCTATCTTTCAGAACGAAGAGTCGAGTCGGGAATTAACGGAAGAAGGATTTTCCATAGAAATAGTACGCGCGTTGCGCGGTGATTGTTGCGAGGATCTGTCATCAACCCATCACGAAACACCGGCTGAATGTATCAAGCATTTGAAAAACCTCCGCTGGAAACACATGCAACATATTCAGGACGAGTTTAAGAAGCTGTGCGATCTGCAGAAGTTTCTGGACGAATATTCACCGAGGCAGTCGTTACCTCCGTTTCAATCACATTTAGGTGCAATGGAGCAAAGGGTTGAGGAACGACAGCAACAGCAACAGCAACAGCAACACGAGGAGAAGCAGAATTTGGGAACGACATCGTGAAGATTTTTCAAGGGTCAAAATATTGACGAAAGAAATAGATCTTTAGTTTATTAGTATCTCTATCTTCTATTTAATAATTCGAGTCTGAAAGAACGTGAGATTTTATGAATGAAACACGCACGATTAAAATAAAATAAATATATTTTGATATATAAAGAAATAAATACTTTCAAGGTGACAAACTTAAAGCTGTCCATGAAATTCTTCGTCAGCCATTCGCAGTCTCAACTGTAAATTCGTAAAACGAAGCGATCCAAGCGAGGAAGTGCTTCGACATTCTTTTGGTCCCAATTTTCCTATATTTCTTGTCCTTTGCCTGCAATCTCTTTTCGATTCTCATTCGATCTTTAAAATCTTCAAAATTGCAATGGATCGCCGGATTATTATGAAAAATTTGGAGAAGATCTGATAAATAAAATAATTTTCTAGGTCCGGTTCTTAAAATCATCATCTTCGTAAACATGTAAAATCGCTCTTCTTCAAAACTTTCAACAGGATCACTCTTTTCCCATGCATGCAAAGTTGAGAATCAATTTTAAAATCTCGTGTTATCCGGCATTTTCACGAAGTATGCAACTTTGTCCTCGGCGACTCTGTAATTATGAATCCACCTGGATCCTTTTCGAAGGCTACCGTCGATTCCATCTCGCCACACTCCTGCAGGCAGATAAACCTCCCTCTGCCTGCTACCGGAGTAAAGTACAGGCGCTACGATCAGCTCCTCGCCCACGGAGAATTCATCGACGACAACGTGGCAGGCGGGATCCGCCGGGTCCAGCATCCACAACGGTCGGATAATCGGCAGTCCGGTGTTAAGCGTTTCCTTCGCGTATTTCTTTAACTTTGGCGTCACCGTTTTCTGCCTTAGTTCCGTCAATCTCTTGGCAATCTCCAGCACAGAGTCGTCCGAGTATTTACTTGGCAAATGAGTGAAACGTATCACTGGTAGAAACGTGGACAGCTGCAGCCATCTGATGTACAATTCCTTGTCTGGTAGATTCACTTCGAAGTCGTTGTCAGGATTGTTGTCGGACATGGGCAAGGCCACGTCTCCGCCGACAGCTCCTGGCATGATAAACGGATAACCAATCATTCCGTAAGTGAGAACTGTAGGTATGACTGTTTTGATTGCTTTCCAGGAGGAGGAGAACGGCGGGAGGGAAACGAAGACAGGTGCACGTGGCCTGGAAATCGCACCTGATACACCGATCACTGGCACGGATCCCAAAATCGACTTTGTGAATAGCGTTTTATAGTGATCCGGATTTGTCAGCGGTTGCTCGCACTTGTAGTAGTGAGGCATGTCCTGCGCAGTGCCTAAATCCAGGTAGAACGAGTCCACGTGATATTTCATGATCAGACTTTCCAGCTTGGACTGCAGCCAAGGCAGGGTCTTGTTGTTCGTGATGTCCAGGACGCCCACGCTGTTACTCTGTTTGTACCTGCAAACGGAATTATACTTTTGTATTATTTCATGCATTTGTTACAACACTTTCATATGATCTGTAGCTCCTGTGATCAACGAATTAGGATTATTCTCAGAAGTTAGAGTAGCATTAAAGTATATATCATGTAAATGTAAAATAGTAAATGTAAAGCTATTAAGTTTACATCATTATTCTACGTGTTTCAATTTACCAAGTTGATCGACGTATAATTAACAAGGTCACCTGGTCAAAGCAGGTATCCTAGGATCGCTTCCTCTCTCGGAGATCAGTAGCCTGTTCGACACCGCGTCTCGAAAATTAGTGGACTCCGTGGATATAAACGGCTGTATAGTGAACACGATCCTGAACCCGCGACGGTGGATAATATTAATAGTCTCTTCCATCGAGGTGAATCTCTCCTCGTCCAACACGAAATCACCAGGACTAGGTTGCCACTCCTCGCTCAACAAAACGTGTCCTTGCTTCAGGAAGCCCAGAGCGATCACATCCTCCGTGTAATTGTATACTGCTGCCTCACTGGTGGGCGAAATTTGCCAGACTGGCTCGGACAACAGCGAGTGAACCGCGTTCAGCTCGTCCGGTTTCAAGCCATCCCACAAGGACTTCTCGGCCATGGAAGAATGCAAGATCTTCATGTTGTCGGTGGCACAGATCGTGTAATTCAACTGAGGCAATGGCGTCAGGTGATTGATGTACGCAAACGCGTCGTGCTTCGCTTGCAAGCAGAAATTGTTGCTCCTGTTCGCGTTAATGGACACGTAGAGAGGGGTTTCTGGATCGACCAGTATAGTGGCACCTTTCGAGTTTAAGAAATATCTCTTCAGCACATTGCCGAAAGGATGTTTGGTAATGTCGCCGGTGATGAAGGGACTTAAATCGAGTCGTCCACGTTCGAGCGGGTAGGGCATGTTTTGCACTTGGCCTCCGCCGTACCAATGGCCCCTTTTCGGCGACCAGTCGAAGCAATCTTTCGGACTGTAGTAAGAGCTCAAGCTCTGCCAGGCGATGTGGTAACAGTGCATGTCCGCGTGTTTCGTGTCCGCGAGGTACAAGCGTGCCTGTTGAAGCCACTCCAGGCAAACTGAGTCTTGCTTCTGGTAATGAGACAGACAGGGGAAAACACCGGTGTCGGCTGGTATATCGTTGCCAAGACGCGCTGCGATCACCTCTGCCCCGGTGCTGCTGTACACGTGCATCACTCGCTCGTTTCTGTTGAACCTGAAAAATGAATACACTTGAATTAAAATGAACACTCTGTATTTTACTGAACTACAAAATTCGAAGCTGCAAAATTTAAAGATTCGTAGAAACCATGTAACAAGCAGAAATATACGTGCGAATCTAAAATACAGTACTTGGTTCGATTAACTTCTAAATCGAAAAATACGAATTATCCTTTCTCTAATTTGATGATGAAAACATCGCATCTTCTCGCGTACCTAAAATTTTCGAAATAAGCTCGTTGAAGAACATGTTGAGTGTAATAAATATGCGCAAATCCCACGAGGAAAACGACGCAGAGGAATAATATTCCGACGAAAGCTCGAAGTCTGTGAACAATCATCGAAAGAAACAATTAAACTCTAAATCAGAAATAACGCGAAGTCGCGTCCTTTCCACGGGTTCTTTACCGGTAATCAGCGTTCTGTCTCTTCTTACTGCTGCGCAGAGCCTGAGGAATCGACAGCTGAAGTTTCTCCTTCAGCAAACTGCTGATGCTGTTAACGCTCGTTATCGTGGAGTTGACGCTCTGCGCTCCAGAAAATTCCATCGGGTCGTTCCCTAATTTTTCACTTATCATCGGCGACATGGCTCTGCTCTTTCTTCGCGGAGGAGCTTGCAGCGGCACTCTAAAAAATCACGAAGGTGTCACAGATCGTGGGAAAGAGAGGAAAGTTTATTTTTCTTACGTATCGAGATGAAAGACTTTCGAATAAACTATCCTAAAAAAGTAAGCTTCCTTTTCAATACCTTTGCAGAGACATTGCACTGCCAACGTCGTATCTAGGAATCATCTTCTCTTTAAAACTTCGCGAGAACAGTTGTTACATTCAACTCTCGTACGATTCACTGTTCATTCAGTCTCACGTGGAAAACGACTGCTTAAAAACTCTTCAGGCTGAACAACGTTGCGTTAATTTGGACAAGCGTGTCGGAAATTGCAACGAAGATACGCGACACCGTACACGTACGCACGAAGTACGCGGAAATTCGTCAATATTGAATGGTGAAATGCAACTGATTAGCCGTCCAGACTCTCGAAGAGTCGTCACTCGATCGTACTTGTAGCGCGATAACCCTGAAGTGATATAAAGAAGGTCGAAGATGATCCTCACACTCGCCGCGTACAGTGTGTCTGCGAAGACGCGAATACTGGTTTCGACTAGTTAGACGCATGTGAGGGATTTACATGTGATGCGATGTGATTTACACATAGATATCATAACCGGCGAAGGTTTTTATTTTCTCTTCTTTTTAGCGCCACTGAGATTGAAAGGATAAAGTTTACGTTGGAAGAAATAAGAAGGATGTCGTCGATCGGTGACATTTTGATTTGAATTGAATTCGAGATATGATAATCATTTACTGATAACGAGTGTTCCATGACTTCTTTAAGGATCAATGATTCGTTGGTAATTTTTTTCGATCAATTCATATGTATCATCGAGTTTCTTTTAACGCGAAAGAAAATTCTGAAGATTCGTTTATTATTATTTTTTTTTTCTAGTAAGTTAGTGAAATTTCAAAGGATTATTCGGAGATCCTATAAATCTTTGGAAAATCTGAAGATTTGTCGAGGCTGTGACGGAAAATTTTAAGGATTTTTTCATCATTACTCCCCTCTTCTCATTCTCAAATTTCTATAATTTTATGAAATTTAAAGAAATTTAAATTGTGATGAATTATTGCTTGGTCCTCAATGGGATAATAATATAATATAATATATAATTGGTAGATTACGGATTTTCATATGTTTGTGAAAAATATGAAGGAATATTCATTAGTTCACCTAGCTTCTATTATTTTAACAATTTTTATAAAAATATAAATTTGTACAAATATCCGCATTTAGTATCAAATAATGTAATATAATATCAATATGGTATTTAATAAAACAATCATAATTTCATATTTATACTTTTTCCATAAAATACCTAATTCCTAGAAACACACATCCATTTCTATATTTTATGAAGTTTATTAAGCTTTTGTATTGTATATTATTGTACAATATAAAAATATATCTTAAATACTTATTACGTTGTATCATATCTAGTTACAATTTATGAAAACGGATTGTACGAAATGGCTAATAAATTTATAACATATAGCTTATAAATTTAAAAAAAAAAGGGACTTACTTGGCCAACACTTCGTCGTTCGCCTCTTCCTCGGTCTCAGAACCAAGAGGACTTCCATTGGGCGTTGAACCACTGTTACTGAATGTCACGCTGCTGCTGTCGTCGCTTTCCGATCTCGTGAACTTCGAGGCGGTTCCCTGCGAAAGGTTCGACTACTCGTGAACATTGTGCAACGAGAGTTAATAAAATCAAGAACAACGCTCAACGAGAATAGAGAACATCTGTCGTGTTTTACTATTTGTTCTACGATCGTGCTGACTTCAATCAGACAGACGGAGAAATGAAGCCGCGACGAAGAAGTGAAACCCGCCGCTTCGAGCGACGTTCGAGAACTACTCTCACGTGAAACGCAGAACGACACGGCACGGTGAATGCATAGATTGACTATGATAAACATTACGTAATCACTGAGAACTTGTACATTCTCACGAACAGGTCGCGAGCGGTTTGGCATTTCAGTCGCCGTTTTATAACATTTCGAGAAATAGAAGATTATTTATCGCAATATTATTAGTACTTCGATTTCTTGAAATTTCACTATTATGAAATTTAGTAATATGAGATCACAATAATATTGGAAACGTAAAAAAAAAAAAAAATAGAATTGCGAGAAGAAAAATATAATATATAAATATATGATAAAAAGCATCAAGCTTGGAAATGAACAGATTTTATAAAAATTAAATATTTTCTTTCAAAATGAAATCAAAATCACGTAGCAGTTAACGTGTTAGTAAACACATATATACTGATAATTGTGACAGAGATTAAATATAATATAGTTTAAATGAATTATTCTTCATTAAAAGGGACCAATCTTCAGCTAGAAATTTCTTCATCACATTAATAAAGTAGACAATTTAATAAACATACACTACATAATAAATATATAATTGTAACAGAATAACGACAACTGATACCATTGCTCTTAGTATCTTCACTAGACGATTATTGTCATTGTTTATTTATACACGATGTTTGACTTGTGAATGCTAGAAAGAGATTCTGTACACCAGAAACAAATGTATATTGTCTTATATTCTTTGAACTTACCTTTTGCCTATCGATTCGTAAACTCTCCATTTCGTCCAGATTACTAGGCATCGAGATGCTCGTTTTACGAATTCGATTGGGGCGAAGTATCGCGGCCTCTTGATGACCCCTCGTTTCAGTATTTCTGTAATTGGGAATTTTTGTAGTTTCCGTAATTTTGTCTGCGGGCGTAACAGTTTCGCTTTCGCTATGTCCCGCCACCTTCGGCGTATCTGAAAACGACGATTATTATTTTTCTGTACATTTTTCCGAGAAACAAGGATATTATGACGATGGTATAGAATCTCGATGAAAATTTGTTTCGTCTATACATTTATATATTTTGTACATCACTGCACCTTTATAAAATATAACTTTCGTTTGTAATTATAATTATAAATAACAAGTAGTAAATATAATTAAATAGAATTTCGATACTAAGAAACTTCAAATTTTTGAGCGGCAGTACATACATACTCGTTGATCATCAATAGTCAATCAATTGTTTCTTTTTTTTTTTTTTTTAATATTATTGCTTAAATGTCAACGACTTTAACCTCGATAACAGCCACCGGAGAATATTAACAAAAGTAGACCGACAATTTTAAATTGCCGTGAAAATGTGCGACCGTTCAAGAGACGAGGAGGATGATGCCAGGAAGATTCCGGAAACAGTGACGCTTTTCAAAAAATGTGAACAACCAAGCCGTCCAATGAAAGATATAGGCAAATCAGTGAGCTGTGACACAATCTTAGATAAAGATGTTTGGAGTCCCGCTGATTCCTCGCAATCAAATCTTAGATACACAATTTGTGGATCACCAAAAGGATCACAGTTCAACTCAAGTAGTTTTAGTAGTTCTACCAAAACGGTAATTTCATTCAGGATTTCTAAACAATATTAAATACTTCTTTTTCTAAACTGTATTATTAACCCATTGGGATATCAGATATCTTCTAAATGTGTTTGTATAAAATAATTTTTCTTGGGTAGAAAATTACTGTTCGTTACTATCTGCATGTTACAATCAACAATCTCTGAAAAAACATTTTTGTAAATACTAGCGAAACTTTATATGTTATTCCATCTTTCCATCTTTATCATCATTTATTCCTGTAGTAATCTATAAATAAAACTACTAAATAGAATTACTAAATATCACCAAATATCATCAAATATTACTCTTTGAAACAGTCTGTAAAAAAGTTTCTTAAATTACTGAGAGTCGAATTATTAAAGAGTTACTTCTTCTAGCGATCCACCTTGTCACAAGTTATTTGATATTCTACAGTATAAGTTCGTCTGTCCTGAAGAGTGCGAGTGTCTAGGGGAAGCTGAAGAAGAACCTTGGCATCCACCGGTATTCTCGTTCGAGCCCTGCGTCGAGGACGAAGAGGTCGAGGAAAAGCCAGATATCGAGTGCACGTTAGCAATTATAAAACCGGAAGCAGTGGTCTACAGAGAACAGATCGAGCGACGTATATTCGAGGAAGGTTTCGAAATATATCAAACGCGATGGTTACAACTCACACCTGAACAGGTGTCTGAGTTTTACTCGGACAAATATGGACAGTTAAATTTTGCACACCTCGTCGCCTACATGGCCTCAGGACCCATAATCGTTCACGTTTTGGCGAAAAAGTGCGCCGTTCACGAGTGGAAACTGCTCATAGGACCGACAAAAGTAATTAAACACAGTTATTTGTTTTAATTATTCGTGACGTTTAATTAAATCTATAATAGCAAGTGTGAGATATTTATTTTAGGTCACAGAGGCTCGTTTGTATTATCCCGATAGTATAAGAGCGAGGTATGGTAGGAGGGGCGAGGATTTTAAAAATGCAGTCCATGGAAGCAATAATCGGGAAGAAGCTGAGAAAGAAATTCATTTCTTCTTTCCTGATTGTATGGAATTTACAATTATTAATAATCGCTATTAATAATCTATGATTACTAATATATTATTATGTTACTAACTATATTATTATTAAAGACCACTTATTTAGTAACATAATAATATTGATAGATCTATAAAATTCACAAAAAGTCTTTCTCCAAAAAACATTCAATCTCGAAAATATTGGATTTCTAAATTTTTAACAATTGAATTAGAAAACGATTATCATCGACGATTTCATTTCTTTATTCCAGTCATAATCGAGCCTCTGTTGAAGAATGAAATGGCAGAAGATTACTTGTGGGAAGTACTCAATCCTACACTCGTAGAAGCTCTATCCACGGTAAATAGAACAGTCTCTGTGATTTGTTTCATTAAACCTCAACAACTGACTCGAAAATTAATAATTTTGCAAAAATTTAATTGCAGTGTTGTAAACTAAAACCCGCAGATCCTGTCTTATGGCTTGCCAATTGGTTGATTATGAACAATCCTAATAAACCAAAATTGCCTGAAGATCTTGCCATGGTTATATCGTGAATATCAAAATTTTAATTTTAATTTTTCTCAAATCCTTTTTGTACATTTTATAAATGTATCATTAGTGATGCAAATTAAATGTTGTCTCACCCACTGTAATTATTTCCTTTTGATGTTGACATGGTGTTCTTCGACTTATTGTTCTCCTCTGTGTTCCACTTAAAATTGGACTGTACCTTAGAAAATGATCAGTATTAATAAATAATGGAGCAAAATTAATGCTATTTATACTTTTTATTAACTCATTTGCATTTCGAAGCAGAGCATTTTACGAATAACTTTTGATCATCAAATTAACAATTTAATATTAATACTGAATACTAAGAAATATAAAATTTATAATTAACAACTTAATATTGAAAATAATTATTAAGTATCAATATTAAATCTTATTAATGTTTGTTCTAATGTTTCACTGTAGTCAATTAATGTCAATACATAATAGTAAATATTTAAACTAGGACAAATTATGAATAATTTTATAAACTACTATACGATACTGCAATACAATGCAAATGGGTTAATACTGCAGTAAAATTGTAATTGACAAAAATATAGACGATTCAACTATACCTCGAGTTTACTAAATTTTGCACGACATTCACAAGCTCTTCGTCTTCGAAGAATCCATGACCAAGCTTCTCATCATTTTTGGTTAACATGCACAGTTTCTCCTCGTCATTCCCATCAACATCCACCGCAGAGTCCTCTGTTCTTCCTCGTAGAAGCTCTCCCCGTACGCTCGTAGAATTATAATTCTCGCTCTCGTGATTTGCGCTCGGTAAATGGATCGTATTTGACGAGTACAGATTATTTATTTTGCGTGCACGATTTATTTGGTCCAGTCGTGATCCCCAAGTGGAGCTCCTACCGACCGAAAAGTTCAAAATCAATTTCTTTTATTTTCACTAACAGACATAGAGATCGCGCTCTACCTAGGACGTTCTTCGTTCACGAAACGCACTACTCTTCCAACTGTTCCACTACTACGCCCGTGATCGACATCGTTGCACGTGATTTCCGGTGTCGCGCCGATTAACCCATTGCCGTCTGGAATTTCCTGATCATTTCGGAGGCCACCGCTTCTCCTCGGGCTCTTCCCTTCGTTCAACACCTTCTTTCTCGTTGGATTTTGCGGCCTTTCCAGTGGATGATACTGTCCTCCGCTTACCGGTGACCTTCGAAGAATAGATGGTCATTATATTGTTACCATTGCACGAAAGATAGACGTTAGTTTAGAGCGTCGTTCGTTTCACATTTTCAAAATGTAGGTCTAGGTTACGGAGAATATCATGCATGCTTATTTCAAAAAGATATTTCCAGTTTGAAAAGTTTCCATTCTAGACAGCTTTGTCTACCCTTTGCCCCAAAAATTAGATTTCTGCCCTCTGTTATAACAATTGTACAATTACAATTATTAATTTACAATCATTACGCAATTCCAGAGAGCCTTATTTTTAAAAATTCCCCTTTATTCTGAAAGATTAGATCAGAGAGACTTACCTTCCAAAGATTAGACTACTTTACCCTCAGAAATTGAATCTAAATTGTAAGAAATATACCTTTACCCCCCCAAGGAGATTAGATTTACATTGTGAAGAAATTCCCAAAGATTTTATAATTATTAAACTATATCGGTTTTCTCCGAAACCAAGTCTAAGCCACAGGTGGCAAAGACAAAGCATTAATTTCCACATCCGTGGTGTTGAACGAAAGTAATCGTTTTTACCTGGACGAGTGCCAAGGATCCACCCAGGTCGGTTCACCACAGCTAGTTTCAACAACTCCAGCTCCGTCAGCGGAGAGTTGTTCCAAAACGTTGCTGTGCGCTGGCTTGTACCAGGGTGACGGGATCCTGACTATTCTACCCGGTGACACCGATTCCTCTGGCTTGTTCCCGTTGCTCTGTTGCGGCGGTGAGATCGACAAGGAAACGCCTCGTCGTTCTGCCAGTCCGACTGGATCGACACTGGCCACTCTGACGTCCCAGGGATCGACGATCGAGAGCAACACTTTCTGCGTGAAGAGAATAAGGATGGAGAATAAGGCTAGAGGGAAGTGGGGCAATCAGAGAAACATCGTCGAGGGAATTAGCCAGTTAAAGTTGATTGAAGCTATGCGCGGCTGGCCGGGCGTCAGTCGAACCCAAGTGGAAAGAGCATCCTCATCTTCAAACGTGTGGCAGCACGCTTGTTCGAGGAATGATAATAATTCGAGCGACTGCTTCTAAAAACTTGAAAACTCCACTGTTACTTGAAAGTAACTCGAGGTTCTGTGTTAATCAATTGTAGGAAAAATGTCCGACGTTTGGCCGCTCTTTTGATACACGTCTTTAAAGTTCGAACTGTCACAGACTATTACGCTAGATTAAACGCGTAAATAAATACCTAAAAATATCCTTGTTTGTTATTTGCACAATGCTCTAATAAAGGAAAAGAAAAACCGGAAATTTTGATATTCTGGTAGTAATTGAAACAATTAGGTTTCGCAGGAAATGATTTTATCTCTATAAGATTGTATTTATATGAAAGGACTTCGTTGTACAGTTAAAATCGAGAGATTAAATTGAACCGATGATGCAAGATTTGTTGCATCGTCTGTATTTTTTTATATTACATATTACGATAGATATTGCTATCTCAAAATTCAATATACTTTGTAAATATTAATTATATCAATTTAATCAAGATTAAGTTGTTTAATCAAAGGTAAGAGAAGATGAGACTGAAAGAATTTAGATACAACGCCGTCGTTGCAAATATCACAGATTAATAATCTACCTAATCCGAGTGTAAAAAGCGGCGCCAAATTGGCGAAACAAACTCAAACTTTAAAGATTAGTTCTTTGTAAATTTCTAATCGTTCTCGAACGAGCTCGTTGAAGAGCGATCGGATTATATAGTATTTACACTCGATTAATCATTGAAAGTAGCATCGAGCTGACAGTTTGACGTATACAAATTACATAATGAAAACTGATAATGGCTTGCGTGTCACGTGTGCTATCTCGTTCCCTATTTTTACCGATACGAGGTGAATTCCACATATCTCTTGTTCGATTCTCTTCGATCATCGTCGATCTTAACTTCTCAAAAATCTTGATGAAAATGTAGAAAAAAAGTTCTCCGAGGATCAAAGACCAGGTGAAAGATTGACTTGCAGAAGAACTATAATTATTTGTAGAAGTAATCGATTGATCGAAACAGAGATTTCAGTAGAACGAAGATTTAACAAGTCAAAACAATTCTAATTCAGTAGCGTGTGTTTGACAAAAAACAAGTATAAAATCACAGCTCCAAATATCATTAAGTAATATACTACAATCCAGTAGGCAATCAAGTTGGATCCACTTACGTATTGTATTTATTCGCTATACTGCAAATATATTTGCAAATTGTACGTCCAATGGTATTATCAAGGGGACTGTATCTTGTTTACGCTGAGCAGAGCAACGAACAGAGTTTCTTCAAACAAACGAGACAATAAAGCGATTAAAAGAACCGTAGTGCAGACTCGTACGTGCTTTAAATCGACCGAAGCGATTAACAAACCAACTATTTTCTTAAGCGTTACTTCATTATTGATAAACTAACGTTCGATAAGTAGGGAAAGAACATTCTGATTAATGCCACGCGATAAAAAATTCATACGATGAATGCATTACTCAGCTTCCTCGTGATCCACGATCCGTGCGTGACGACCTGTTTTCGCATTTATTCTGCAAAGCGATTCACAGTAATCAATTCTTCTCGAGAAAAAAAAAAAAAAAAAAGAAAAATGGGACAAGAATAAAAGAAAGAAATAAATTTTCAAATTAAAGATTTTTAGATATCTTTCACTTGTAATTAATAATTTTCTTTTTTTATCTGTAATTTCATGTATATACGTATACTATATATACCGCAAGGTATTTGGACCGTTCGATAAAAAGATTAATATTTTTGTTACATTCAGTGGTGTAACGTAGTTTGACTATTGCACCCGAGATAAGATCATAAATTAAATTAGAGAATTTCATTTCTTTATATTTGAACGTGTCTAAACACTCGTGGAGAATAAATTAATTATTTAGTATAATGTGTAGTATATAAGAGAATATAGTTTTCCCTATAATACTTGTCACGTGGAAAAATTTCCCACCAAAATTCTATTCCCAGAAACATAAATTTGTATAAAAATTCGGGATCTAGTTATAAGCAAGGGATACTTACAAAACAGGGATGTATAATATTCGAAAATTCTTCGATGTCGTATCAAATAGATACAATTGATCGTTTAATTGTACGATTTGGTAGCCACCGCTTTTCTTCTGCTCCTTTTTGTAGGATATAAATAAATTTTAGTTCAACGTGTAGAATCACCATCACAAAAGCGTTTTGCTTCAAAGAACATCGAGCGACCACTATTGTTTCGCGTTTCGCTGACGCTTGAATCTCGTGGATTTTGCAATTTGAATACTGGAAACAACGGAGGAGATGCAAGTTTTCCGTAAAATTAATAACCGTAAAAATAGCAAGACGATCTTTCGATCACGAACGAAAGGACAAGTTGCACATCTCGATGCGGTATTAACGCCAGGTTTTTCGAGTTCGATATCACGAAGATTTTCCATTCCTTCACCTTGGTGAAGAGTTTAATAAGATACGTAACTTTTCAACTATCGACATCCCATCGCAAACAAGTTTGCTGGATTTTCCACGTGACTTCGGTCTAGTTATAAAGTTGTTTATTCAATCATGCGACTCTGTTATGCAAGCGATGATTTTAATGCTATAGTTCTTGACTTTTTTTAGCTATTCATGGCTATTTCAGTCTCTCGCTTTTATTTCAAAAGACAAACAGGAATTTTAAATATAGAGAGAAATCCTTTAGAAAGAGAATTTTAAATACAGCATTGAAAACGTGAAAGTAGATCGCAGATTTCTTACGAAATATTACAGAAAGCACTATGATTTGGATACTTTATATATTTTTTTCACATCACATACTGCGCATTCTGTGCGATTCTGCATTTTATCCGTGAAAATCCATAGTCTATTAATAAAATATCTTTTATACGTACTTTGTTCAATAAGAGGATGTTTATTATCGTTAGAAAAATATTGCTGCGTTGAGAATGGCCGAAGCAATGGCTACAGGAACTACAACTAAAAGGAAAAATGTAGAAACAACGAATCTTTCGTACGTCGAATCATTCGTCGACAAATATCACTGGCAGCAAAGCTACAGATAACTTATTGAATTAATCG